AAAATAAAAAGTAATTATAAAAATTAAAAAATTAAAAACCTAATTTTCGGGCTCCAAAAATTACGGGCCCTAGGCACGTACCTAGGTTGTCTAGGCCTTAGTCCGCCCCTGTAGGTAGGTCCAGGATAGGAAAGAGTGGAGGTGCGTGTCTAACCAGTGTTGGGACTGACAATTGTTATGTTAGTTAGTTTTTAGAGTTTTATCGATACAAAAATCTTTACTAATGTTTGTTAATGGTTGTTGATCTTTGAGCATGTCCTTTAACCAAATTCCATCAGTATTACATTTTTAAGTACATGAAACTAGCCTTGAGAAAGTCCAACAAACTGGGCGAAACGTCAACTGTGGTTTTTTAAATAAAATATATTTAAACTCCGGTATTGCTTTGATAAAAAAAATTCAATACAAAATAGGAGAAGAAGATTAAGTAGAATTTATTTTTTACGTATTATTAGGACTTGACCCGTAACTTGATTGATGAATAAATACACAAACTAACGTATTTTACTGTGACTACAATTTAATCATTTTCAGCAAATTAATGTTTTATTTCTGTGGTTTAATTTATACGTAATCAAATCAGGAGATTTCTTAGTTAAATAAACTCTACTTATTATCGTCAATTTATCTGGTTTAGGGATCTTAAACTACAGATAAAGGACAAAAATGCGAATTGCATAATTTCACATAGCAAACACAAGGTTAAAAAAAAAGAACACGATCAACAAAACAAGAATAATCTAATTGTAAAATATTATAAAAACTTACAGAACTTCACGATAATGTTGACATGTGAGATTACCGCATTTCTGGTATTATAAAATTCGACCTAATGGACAAGAAATTGAACTTTTTAAACATTTAAACGAGGTTTAGGTAATTGAATTACGGATGTTCTGGAATGTAAATTATTTAAAGATGAGACAAAAACCTACTTTTGAAATAAAATAATAATAATAATAGAATATTGTTTTTCGTCCTTTCATGAGATTGGGCTATTTAATAAAAAAAATAATCAAAATCGGTTTAGAATCAGCAAAGAAATAGCGGCACAAACACATAAAAAAAATACGGTCGAATTGAGAACGATCTAAATTAGTTATACGTAAAACAATGATTATAAATAATTACAAATGATATTAAGTTTGGATAATTGATTA